AGTCGAGGGCTATTTGTACCTCTTTTGATAAGCAACCAAAATAACAGGTTTAACAGAATCATTATTCTCAGGGGCGGGTTAATTTAAATACAGAAAGGGTGGTGATGTATAAATGGTATCAGCATTCTGGTGATACCTTACTCTAAACCAATGGGTGACCTCTCATGGATGGTCTCACAGATGTTAAAGCAGGAAAGAAAGACTTGATCTTTGTGGAACTCCACAAGGAAGTGCCCAAGGAGCTGATTCTGCTTCCCCACTACAATGAGTGAATTACCCACATGGGAAGGCACAGAACTACTGTAAAACACTGTCTTATCCTCTTCCCCAGTTCTGTTCCATTAAGACTATGGATAGTTTCTGTATGGGGTGAAAAAAAATTAAAATCCTTTAATATGTTTGATATATTTTCAGATTATCAAGACCTCCCTTAAAAAGTGATATTTCAATTGTTAAGGAATCCTTTTTATCTCATTACTTACATGCTTAAGACCAAATGCAAGCTTAAGGATTTAAATCAGTTAATCTTCAAGGTTTAACAATATATTTTAGTGATTTTTGGAGCAACTAGCAGCGATGCTACCATGATATACACCCAGAGAAACTTAACTATAATTAGAAACCATTTCAGACTTCAATATACTTTAGCTGATGAAGCTATCAGTGTAATCTGGGTGTGAAGCTTTCGTACAGTGATTACTTCCTTTCAAATCCTAAATTTCCCAGGTTTTGAGATAGATACCTGTATTTACACTCTTTGCATATGCTTTTTTTCTAAGCATTTTTGTATGATTGCGAACATCAGTTTTGCTTTACAAGCCAAAAATTTTACAGTCAAGGTATGTATGTTGCTAATTGTTTGCATTCTAATACAAATTAGTTTTGAGTATGTGTTGCTCATGCCATATTCTGAAAATTATTACATCATTTAATATATTTTGAGTTTGGAAAACTTTACAAATATACACACACATCTTCCCAGATTAATGAATAAGCATGCAGAAATTCTTGTAAATAAAATTAGAATATGAAGACTGTTATGATTGGATTAGAGTATGGAAAAATATGTACTATGTCAGCATCCTAATCATGGAATAGGTTACATAAACAGAGTATTGAGATGGTCTGTAATGAGCAGACATCTTTTTTGATTACTTACTCATTATAATTCTATAGATTTCTATTTGTTTTATAGTAAAAAGGTTCTAATAATGTTTTGTTCTTATTTTGCTTAAGTGGCATGGGAGATGCAATATCAAGCAAGCAGGATTTTAAAAGAAAATATTCAGAACACAGTAAATTTAAGATGTTTTGGATATTTAAAAAGTAACATTTAGAATTGATAGGTTTTAATTTGTTAAGGATCTCAGAAATGTACACTTGTAATCTGCTTAAGGAAGTTAGAAGAATTAAACTGGTGGTTTGGATGACTTTACAGAGTTGCTGGGAAACAAGAATAACACGGAAATGCAAAAGACTTAGTTCCAGTTTCTGTTTTTACTGTATCTCTACACTGCACCTCTCAATGGGATGAGAATGCTCCCTGTTTGGGAAAAACATGTGAATACTCAGGATGAGTATAGTGTAGGTGAGATTGAGATTGGTTTCTCTGCAAATTACTGAGAAATGCAAAATTGGGGAAGAACCATAGGTTAATAGTAGAGTTTATTCTTGTGTGCAGAAGATCCCAGGTCAATCTTTGCTTAAAAACAAGGAGTTCTACTGCAGTCAGATTAAATACTGAGCTATGGGTACAAATAGTCTAATTTAAGATATAAAGCAGTTTCGTATGCTTATGTTGCTAAGACTGTAGTTTTCTTGATTTGTAACCCTGTATTTCTTAAAAGCAGGGGAGGCACATGTGCAGCGGGGAGGCACATTTATTTTTCCATTTCTCTCACTTCTCTGCAACTATTGGCTTTACCAGCTTCTTCTTATGCAATAGAAATGGAAACATATCTTCCTCTTCAATTCACCACCAGAACTGAGATTTTTGACATCTTCAGCTCTTTCTCATAATTCTTCTAATTATTTCATATTTCTTTGTTTCTCATCTGTTGCTCATAGTTTTCATCTGTTCCCCTTTAATAAAATTAAATTTAAAAAAGTAATGAGTTTCAAGCATTCAAGCAATGACAAAACTAATAACCCAAAAAGGGATTCAACAGTTGCTATTGTATGAAAAGTAAAATGAACATTCTTTTATAATGGGAAGTTATTCTCCAAAATTAAAGTTGCCAATATAATTAACAGACTCTTAGGCTTTTAGTACCCTTCCCCAACCTGGGAGGAGTTGGCTATTATCAACTCCATTAATTCCTACCCATTATGGAACATAAGTAGTGCCCTGCTGGATTGAATCCCAGGTCTATCTAGTCCAGCAGTCTGTTTTCACAGTGGCCAAACAACTGCACAGGGAAGCCCATTAGTCTCCCAGCAGATGACCTTCAAAGGCAGTCACAGCACCATCAAAGCTAATAGCCATTGATCTCCATGACTTCCATCGATTACAGGTAGTCCTTGCTTAACATCCATTCATTCAGCAACCAAAGTTACAATGGCACTAAACAAAAGAACTTAGAACTGGTCCTTGAAGTTCCGGCCATTGCAGCACCCCTGCGGTCATGTGACCAAAATTTGGGCCCACCCGCATTTACGGCTGCCTTTTGGCTGCCCACCTACCTGTGCCCACCGCACCACGCACTACTATTGTACTGGCTGGGGCCTTCTTTTGCACAAGTGTAGCCAGGTCTTCCCTCATAACTTGCCCATGGCCTCCGTTTGTGCCCCACCCAGGGCCTTCTTTTGCGAAAGCCTGGTGCATGAAAGAAGGCCCCGGTTGCCCTATTGTGAAAGAAGGACTCTTCTAATTTAAAATAACTCGTAGTTAGGCAACGACTCCGATACAAGCCATTCCTGGATTGGTCCCTCTCAGTCCTGAGCCTCAATAAGGTAAGGGACTGCTGCCTCTGCCTCCTCTTGAACTCCCCCCATCTGCCTATCTCCTCCCTCATCTCTGCCCTTTTGGCTATCTGCCTACCCGCTGCTGCCAGCTGCCCCTGCCTCTTCACAAAAGAAGGCCCTGGCTAGTGCGCAAACAGAGGCCCTAGCTGGCACGCTAATGGAGGCCCTGGGCGAAGCATGAATGGAGGCCCTGGGCAGGGTGCAAGAGAAGCCCCAGTTGCACCAGCGTGAAAGAAGGCAGTGTGAAAGAAGGCCCTGGCTGGATTATTTAAGAGTTATTGGAATAATTGTACTGTTTCCAACAGTGATGGTAAATTGAAGATTTAATTTCAGGAACGAGCTATTGTGAAACAATATGCTCTTAAACTTAAATAGAATGCTGAAAAAATGCTAAGTAATTAAGTAGCACAACATTCCATTAAAAAGAAAAATGTTTATAATACAATTGTCATGGATGCAGAGTACAGGCTTTGTCCAGCTATCAATGAATGCTGACTTTTATTCATCGTATTTGAAATGAAAGTTAGAATTATTAAATACATTAGGAGTTTCTCTAAAGTAATCTTGAAGAGGAGGAAGTGTGAGAGAGAGAGGTGGGAGGAGTTCCCTTGTTTCAAGCTCAAGAGTCTGTTTAACAATAGGCTACTGTATGTGAGAAACGGTAGCAAGATAGCTCGTGAAGACCTTTGTCATTATCTATCACCATATGGTCCAAAGTGTCATAGATACAAAAGGAGTTATGCAGTCTCCAATATGCTGAAAGAAATATCCGTATCTCCATTCCTTACCAAAAATAAAGTCTTTAAGTTTGTTGATGGACTGAACATTTGAAATGAACAGTTTACCCACCTGAGGCAAGGTGGCTCCCACCTTTATGGCCTTCCAGGAACTAGTCAAAACATAGCTGTTCGGGAAAGCCTTTTGGTCCTGACTGGTGGGGGGGAATCATAGCCATCAGATGGGTAGATGTGTAATTGTCAATTACAGTTTAATTTAATATGATTTTGATATTAGTGTATTTCAGTATCCTTACTGTTACACTGGCTTGTTATTGCTCTTTGTGCACCATGTAGTCTTTTCAGGATAAGGGTTAAGGTTAAAAAACTGTATAAGCAAATCTGAGTTCTCTAGTGTGTTAGTATGTTTTCATATATTCATAAAGCGTATGGAACCTGATTTCTCATATATTATAAATAAGCAGCACCATTTTTCCATACTGGATAATTGGTTTTGCCATACAGTCCACAGAGTATTTAGTTATTTTATCTATTTATCAGATTTGTACACTGCTGCAATCACAAGATTCTCAGCAGCTAACAAGATATGAAATGCAATAAATATAAAAGATGAGCCAAATAAAACTGAAACAAAATATGTGGCATCAGGCTCCAAGTTCAGGGGCTGCATAATTATAAAGTTAGAGCAAACTATATAAATAAATAGGTTTTTATTTGCTTGTTTTATTTGCATATTGTTATTGGCTTTAAGTTCTTGCCACTATGATGATTGGTCTTGTTTTGAAAATTCAAGCCATATTTAAAAATTGTTCCAGTTTTAACATGCATGCCACTAGATGGCAGTAAAACAGCTATTCTGTGCAAAATAGATATTTTCAAATAGATCTATGAAGTATCTAATCTGACCAACTAATATCCCATAAAAAGAATAAGCAAGAGTTGGAAGTGTTCCTTTTCATTTTTATTAATTTTTTTTGTACAGTATCTATTTAAAATATTTTTTCTCTACTTTTATGCTGTATGGCAAAAGAGTATATAAGTCTGAACCACTGAATCAGTTCAAGGCAGGTAATTTATAACTGTACAGTATGAATATTTGGGCCAGTTTCTTTAAGTCAGTTCAGATATTCAGTTCTATTAAGTCAAACGTGCCTTTTCTTATTTTAGATACAGAGCTTATTCTGTTCTCACTATAACAGAACATATTCTTTTCCCATTTTTTACGTGAAGATAGAATTAACTTTTGGTGGAATATTTCTATTTTAATTATTTCCTCTGTTGACGTTATGTTCCCTCTAGAGCTCATTGTGCCATCTGCTGTCATTTTGTGGACTGGGAAATCATGATACTGCTATTAATAACTTTATTTCAACTCTTGGCTTCACATCAGTAGATTACTACTCTAAACTCATTGAAAATGTGAGTATTTTGCATAACTTGGCAACTTGGCAAAGTGAGTCTTCCTTTACCCCTGATTTCTATACATTTAGAGATTAGCCAACATCTTCCTCCAAGGTGTCAGGCATCTTCAATTTCGTTGCTTGTCAGATTGTTCTCATGAACAACACAAATTACTCATTCCTACCAGTTTAAGAAATGGACGAATGTGGCTGTTTTGACTCACAGTATAAAAGGTCAGCTACAGTTCCCATCTAGCAAAGAGCTGCTTTGCTAAATATGTCTGATAATAGCTGTCTCTTTCTAGTGAGTATAATGGGAATTATTGTAGAGAAAGTTCTTTAATTCCACTCCAGCCTTTCTTGCCTAGAGGGTAATTCTGTAGCCAAAGTGAGGGTGGCCAAGACAAAGCAATGGGTGAAGCCAGAATGAAAAGTAAATTTGATTTAACATGGTTTTAAACCATGCGCTATTCCCATATTTTCTATACATACTAGAAGACTGAAAGGAGAAATTGGGTTAGTGGCCACCATAAATAATCGAAGAAGAGCTAAATGCGTGGTTCCTTGAACTATAACATTTTTTTCTCCTTTTGGTGTGTCATGGACAAACAGTAAAGAAAAAGACTTTACAGTAATTATAAAATACAGAATAAGATGTTTGTGTTCAAAATAGATCTTATATTAATGCTTTCCAGAAAGATTTGCAAGGAAATTAATCTTTGCAAAGATCAAGAGAACAACTGCATTCTACCATTTTGGTATTTTTAAAATGTAAATTAAAAAATACTAGCCTTTAAAAATATAAATATATAATTACAATTATTTAGCATTTAATTAATTTTCTTTAATTTAATTAATTAAATTTAATTTTTATTTAATTAAATTTAATTTTTATTAAATTTCTCCCCCCGATGGAGACTTAATTATACTTGTTTTCTAAATTATTTAGCTTTTTATTATACTTGTTTTCTGGTGAACCAATTGAATATGTAAATGCTGAAGATTTACACAGTCTATCAAATCAAATATACTGTACTATTGCTTGATTAATAATAATGAAAATAGATGTAAATAGATGGACCTGTTGACAAAAATTTAGAATGGGTGCCTTTTTAGGGCACTGAAGGAACTAGAACTTAAACTTACCAAACAAAAGGTAGCTTTCATTCTTAGAAGGAAAAGCTATTTTTCTCACAGTTATAACACGAAGCAATGTTTAAACACTTGGTACATTTCAGTCTGCCTTTTCAATTAAACTTTGTTCCTAATTATTGGTTTATTTTAATTGGATTAAATTTATGGAAGCTTTCATATTTTAAATTGTTTCTTTGACATAGAGTAAATTTGGAGAAAACATTTTCACATCTTTCAGTCCATAGGTCTCAACAAATAGATCGCTTATTCACCTGGAAGTGCAAATTCAATAGTGAGAAAATACCTCTGATGTAATCATTGCTGAATGATTTTCTTTATTATTCTAAGTTGATTAAATAATTACATTTATTTAACAGATAGTTTCATCGTTAGTGTCGGAAGTCAGCAGAACCCAGGTTAATGGATTTAACGGTCAGCAAAAGTAGGTATTAATATTAGTAGAACTCTGTATAAGTAGCTAGGCTGAATAAAGTTCTGTGGAAAGATACTTAAAACTGAAACTTAATATCATTACATGGATATATTCCAAACCATGCATAAGCATGGTTTTATCGAGGAACACATTATTTATAGAAATGATATATATTACAAATCATATAAAAACAATGCTCAGAGAAAGACCTCAAACTGCTTTGTAGTCCTAGTTTTTTGCCAATTTAACCCTGAAAGGGTAGTCACCGGTATGTCATCTATCAGATTTTTCTTTACCTCCTAGTTCCTGTCTGCTTTGACTTCTCTTCTCTTCTCTTCTCTTCTCTTCTCTTCTCTTCTCTTCTCTTCTCTTCTCTTCTCTTCTCTTCTCTTCTCTTCTCTTCTCTTCTCTTCTCTTCTCTTCT